ATATCACTCAAGTTATAAATCAAGCTATACCAATGGTGGAGCAGCAGGTGTATCAAGCACCATATGACTCAAATTATAAATCAAGCTATACCAATGGTTTCATAAACAGTAGGCAGGGTGAGCAAGAGATACACAAGCCTCCTGGAGTCCTGGGAAGAAACCTTGAAAACTGTTATCTTGATGTTTTAAGGAAATGTTTACACAATACCAAAATAAACATAAGCAAACCATGACTCCTCTATAGCAAAAATATGCCTCCCTTTGTGACTTGTAAACAAGTCATAAAAAGAATTTCTGTAAGAATATACCTAATAACATAAACTACAACTACGGTAGTAAACAACAGTTGGGCCGCATCAATTTTATTTGTTGCTTCTCAGATTTTTGCAGAAAAAATATGAAGTGACAGGGTGAAAAAAAACAAGCCAAGGCACACCATGATAGCCAGAAATGTTATGATATGAGCCATGAAGTCAACATACCAGGCTAGTTTATAATTAAAACATTTTGAACTTTTATTGAAACAAATTTGCATTCACATGGAAAATCTTTAAGAACCAGGAAGAAAAGGACTTTCGTCAACTGTTGGGGCCAAAATGTGTCTTTCAATGAGCATTTTGCATTTAATTTAGAACAAAAAAAATTTTGGGGGGGGCAAATCAGAAAAAAAATGGACAGGGCGATCTGAGAAGCACAAATTAAATCAGTGTGGCCTTATATGTAAATATAATAAAGTAAATAACAGGTACATTGTAATGTCATCATGTCACTGGAAGGGGGTGGTCTGCAGGGGGGGGCCTATGTACTGGGGGGCTGGCAGAACCCAAACCCCCCCAGGGCCATGCAGAGGCCATCGGTTGAAGCTCTTTTGATGGCCTGTTGATACGCCCCTGCTTTGGATGGCATGCTGGTGGCCGAGCCCCATCCAATGCCACTGTGGGTGCGGCCATCTTGCAGTTCTACTTGGACGATGCTGTGTGCACCTACACTATACAGGTTATCTTTCTCTTCCACATAATCCACTTTCAACTCGATACACCTGCTGCTCCACCCTCCTGATCCAAAGCTTTCCGTTGCAAACGTGAGGGCATTGTTCAATGCCGTTTGTTCCACTGTGTCTGCTGCTGCTGGGGTGGCGCTCGGCTGTGCTGTGCTGGCGCTCGGCTGTGCTGTGCTGGCGCTCGGCTGTGCTGTGCTGGCACCCTGCGGTGCTGTGTTCGCACTCTGCGGTGCTGTGCTGGCACCCTGCGGTGCTGTGCTGGCACCCTGCGGTGCTGTGCTGGCACCCTGCGGTGCTGTGTTCGCACTCTGCGGTGCTGTGCTGGCACCCTGCGGTGCTGTGCTGGCACCCTGCGGTGCTGTGCTGGCCCCACTAGGGTCTTCACTCATGTTGGTAGTTAGCTGCAGTGGTTATAAACGATATCCACTTTGTCAAACAATTTTAAGACATATTTATCATGGTTTGCTCATTCACATTATGTAACAAATCAATCAAATTAAGAAGAAATAGAAACAAGAAGCCATAGGCGACAATTCTCCGTGAAGTATTATATATTGCAACAAAAAGAAGTAGCCATTGGCGACAATTCTCTGTGAAGTGTGATAAATCGAACAAAGAAAAATTGTTTAAACGCGCGTCGGCTCAGTCATCTTAAGACGCAACAACCAATCAGAGATGCGAGATGCCTACACGTGACGCGGGAAGGGCGCGCGATGCCCGAAATATTTTTGCGTCAATATTCAGCGCCGTGATTCAAGAGATTAATACCCGGAAACAATTTTTTTCTTGTTTTGAACGCATTAACATGCATTTACGCTAATCTAGTATGATTCAGGGTTACTTTTTTTTAACCTGCCATGGCCAGATTATCTAAAGATGTGTGTATTGTGTGTACAATCTATAGAAAGAGAAATGTACATCAGGTCCGATCATCCGATTTTCACGTTTCGGTTTTTTGGACTCGGTTCATGAACGTATTTTGGTTTGGCTCCTGGAATGTGCAAAAAAATGACTCCCGGGACTGTCTACAGGGAACACTCGCACATTCGCGGTGTATCAGGACAGCGCGACTGGTCGTCATTAGCGCAGTAACAGTTGCATAAACGGACGAAACCATTTCAAAGAAATGGGGATGTTTCGAAAATAAGCATTTACTCCAATATCAAAACAGCTACGGTAAAAATAAAAAGACGTGCATCATCCCGGACATAATGCAACACCACATGCGAAATTACACAGAAATGCGACGTACGGAAGAATGCGTTTTGGCTGCGAACATCTTCCAAAAAACTTGGCATCTCTTAACCATGGGCAAAAACATCTGGAACCACTTATAAAAACCACCCCGTATCTGCATGAACTTTTTTGAACCCCACTGCTATTCCAAACAACGCGTTTTTCTGGACCATTCCAATTCGCCTCGTAATTGTAGGGGTGCGTCTGCGATATTACATTGACCGCGAAAGCAGCAACGGCAAAAATACACATTCGTGCATCAACACGGGCATGCCCGCAGACGGCGTATAAAATTGCGTGCCGATTACACAAAGAGAACCCAGTGTTTTGACTGCGAACATGAAAAATCAGCCGATTACAACACTCCGTCCGGAGGTCCTGACCTCCTTCACGGAGTAATAAAGTTAGTATACTGAAAGCACTAAAGCATCAAGAGACAACATTCCTGATTGTAATTGTAACTGATTATGGCAATGGCTATGCTGTAAATAAGTCAAAGATATATATCAAGTGGAGTGGATTATTCCTCAAGCTAACTGACATCTGTCATACCACAGTCATCCCTCAGTAACACATCTGGAGCTGTACAGCTATGAACCTGTGACAGGCTGAGTAAAAGTTCTAACAAGACTGGCAATGTAAACATACATGGCAATGGCAACAGTGGTTGCTGTTAGGCTCTGTCATGATTTCATGATTTTGAGGACGCCTTGGTACCCTTCCCTCCCCTGAGTGTAAAGTGAAGGAGCTCCGAGGTAACAGAAAATATGGCAACCGGGGCAGACAGGTTTTCCCTAGGGTTTCCAAGAATGTGGGCATGTCAACAAACAGATCTGGGAGACATTCCTGTGGACATTCCTTGCCTGTGGACAAAATTCCTGTACAATTCCTAGAATTCTTGCAAACTGCGCACAATACTATTCCATTTGGCTCCTCCCTGAGACATCGCCAAAAAGGAACAATGCAGCTCAATATGTCTGACTAAGGGATGACTGTGGTGTATAAGACATTGAAGTATGCAGTATTGACAGGATCATGATCGTATTATAATGGCAACATAGCAGCACCATTATTCCACAGTCTGAGTGAACACTGTCATGCATGTTCAACTTGCAAAATTGCATGTAAGAATATTTTTACATGCAAATCTTGAAAATCACATGCATGCAGATTTTGAGCCCTGAATCAGTGAATGATTATTGACAGAAACTTTCTAAAACAGTGATCTGAACAGTCGAATCTCTTACGTTTTCAATTCTGTGCAATATGATTTTGTGATTATGATAATAAGTAGGTGACCACATGGAAAGAGATGTTTGCATGCGTTAGTGTGATAGGAAGGTCCTGATTGGAGTAACCAATCAGTGAAGAACTATTGTTAGGCCACAGCAATTTAATTTGTCTGCAAAAATGCTCATATTTTGCAACAGTTGAGGAAAGTCCTTTTCTTCCTAGTTGTTAGTTTTTTTTTCCATCTATCAATGCAGTGGTTTGATTAAAAGTTCAAAATTCATTGCTTAAATATACCCCAGCCTTTTGTGTTGACTTCCTGGCTCCTATCATGATAGCATTTGGGGCTACAATAGGATGCCCAGACCTGTTTTTATTTTTTTATATTTTTTCGCCCTGTCGCTTCATATTTTTTCTGAAAAATCCGAGCACCAACAAATTAAATTGGTGTGGCCTTAGCATAGTTGAGCTTGGAAGTGACAATTGCTCTGTAAGTCAGTCTATGACACAGGACTCTGGTACATCTGATGTGTTAGTTGTAGCCAGTGGCGGCGG